GGGGGAAGAAGAGAAGAGCGAGAGGGGGAAGAAGAGCAGGAGAGCGAGAGGGGGGGAGAAGAGAAGAGCAAGAGGGGGAAGAAGAGAAGGGCGATAGGGGGAAGAAGAGAAGGGCGATAGGGGGAAGAAGAGAAGGAGAGCGAGAGGGGGAAGGAGGGGAGGAGAGCGAGAGGGGGGAAGAAGAGGAGGAGAGCGAGAGGGGGAAGAAGAGGAGGAGAGTGAGAAGGGGAAGAAGGGAGCTGGAGACAAATCAGGAACGAGTTACCATGTTGAAGTAATTGCGAATTTTCACCCCCTTCTCCAGATCCCAGACGAAGATGTTCCCGTCATGACCAGCAGACAGGAGGATTCTGGAATCGAAGGGATGGGCTTCCAGGACGAACACTTCATCATCGTGACCCTGCCAGGACATGAACATAAACTGCAATGTCTTAGAGAAGCAGCAATGGAAGCGGCCGTCAGTTTCATTCTAAGAAGAGCAATTGTAAGAAGTACACCAGCCAAGCTCTCTGCAATACCCACAACAGTTACTAGGGGGCGCTCTGCAGGGGAACAATCTACTCACAGACAAGACGTGCAGAAGTTGGCCTGTGTGGGAATTCCAAACTTTCAGAAAGAAGTTGTTGACGGCGGTGATGACGGTCGTGTCGGCGCGGTCCCAGGCCACCATGGTCACTTTCAGCTTGGTCACTTTGTCCTCGGCATTTGCCACGCTGCTCCTAGAACGGAGATCGCACATGAGATAGGGACACGTAGGGACTAAACAAGAATGCCAAAGCAAGTACTCTGAAAGCTCTGCACGATAGGTCGAAGGCAAACTTATATAAAATCTAAAAGGAAAGGTGAACCAAGAGAGCATTGCTGCCCGTAGTGGTTACTACAAGATTAGCTTCACAAAGGTCTGCTTTAGAGTCTTAAAGGAGAACTATGAGGGGGGTGATTGTCACTCATCCTCATAGTTCGGGGCGACGTGTGACAATGAAACGGTCACAGGTCGGCTCAGTAGATCAGGGAGTGAACACATACCGTCGCTCGCTCACTTGTCGATCCTGTCCCTGCAGAGAGAGGCGACTGGCACTCACGGCTCCCTGCAGGGATTCCCCCCTCCCCGCTCCGATCCTCCAGCCCTCACTGACGGAACGGACGGGGGAGGGGGCGGGTATAGCTGGCTCTACCTCTAGATAGGCGGAGCCAGCTGTCACTCACGCAGCTGGGTGGATCCAGACATTGATGTCGGGATCCGATTCAGCTGCGGCGTCTCGGTATACCGCGAGCTGTAGCTCCCTATATACTGAGCCTAGGGTGACGGGGGGATGCTAGTTTGTGTCACCCCGTTACCCTGAGGAGAACTATGGGGGAAAGCCCTGACCTCATAGTTCTCCTTTACAATGAATTACGTGGATGGAACAGAACCATATATGACAGAATCAGGAGGTCCTGACACGGAATATTTTATAAAAGGCACTTCCTGTTTCCTGGTCTTTATAAACAGTCAGATATATATCGGGGCTCACGCTCTCCCGCCTCTCCCCCCTCTCGCGCTCTCCCCCCTCTCGCGCTCCAATGTGGATTGAACTGCAGAGAGAGCGAGTGACGTTCCAACCGGGGAACATAATAGCCGCATTTTAACAGATACAAATTCAGGGACATCCTAAAAACTAGGGACGCACCGATACCGATACTAGTGTCCGATACCGAGTATATGGGCGGGTACTTGTGCTCACGCAAATGCTCAGATACTGGAACTTCGGGTCAGAGGTCGTGGCAGTGTCGTAGGGGAACATGGAGCCGGCTTCACAGGCAACCGGATATATCTCCAACCTTGTCTCAAAGTATCACCCTAACCGCCCCCTCCGCTCATCCCAAGACCTCCTGCTTTCCAGCTCCGTCGTCAACTCCTCCCATACTCGCCTCCAGGACTTGTCTAGAGTCTCTCCCATCCAATGGAACTCTTTACCCCAACCTGTCCGACTATCTCCCACTCTGACTGCCTTTAGGCGATCCCTAAAGACTCATCTCTTCAGGGAAGCCGATCCCACCTCAACCTAACCGCTCAACCATTCACCCCCACACAGCTCCCTCCTCATGTATCACTGGCCCCTCCCCTTTTAGACTGTAAGCCCTCAGGGGCGGGGCCCTCCTTACCATCTTGTCTTAAATTGTATTGCGATTGTAATGTCTTCCTTATATTGTACAGCGCTGCGCACACTGTTGGTGCCATATAAATCCTGTATAATAATAACCAGAAAACTCGGCTGTGAGTAATGACCCTGTCTCCCGATTGTCCGAGCACCCGGCTCCATGGTGATTGTCCGAGCACCCGGCTCCATGGTGATTGTCCGAGCACCCGGCTCCATGCTGATTGGCCGGGAAGCCGGCTCCATGGTGATTGTCCGAGCACCCGGCTCCATGGTGATTGGCCGGGAAGCCGGCTTTCCAGCCAATCACCATGGAGCCGACCTCCCGGACAAAAATCAGGAAGCCGGGCGGCGAGTAATTATTCACCGCCTGGCTTCCTGATTGCCCAGGAAGCCGGCTCCATGCCAGCGGAAGCACCGGTATCGGCGAGTACCGAGAGCAACATGTCGGTACTCATACTCGGTGGTGAAAAGCCGGTCTCGGTGCATCCCTACTAAAAACCGGAACACTGGAAGTCTCGGGGATTTCACTAGAAAAACTTTCCAGCGCGGGACATTCTAGATGTTATTCTGCGTCACACACCAAGGCGAGTCTTACCCGGCCATTCTGGCAGCCATATCCAGTGCGATCATCTTCCACTCCTGCTGCTGGTACTGCCAGATCCGCGCCGTGCCGTCTCTGCTTCCGCTTACAAAGCATAATCTGCATTGGAAACACAAGACGGTGAGTTACCGGTAACCGAGCAGGTGAAAGGGAGTCCAAGGAGGAGAGGCAGGGGGGCCTCGGAGAACAGAGAGGGGCAATGACTACAGTATGAGAATTCAGGGGGGGTAGAGGGATGACGGTAGTAGGAGGACACACAGAGATGGAGGTAGTAGGAGGACGCAGAGAGATGGAGGTGGCTGGAGGACGCAGGGAGGTGGCTGGAGGACACAGGGAGATGGAGGTGGTAGGAGGACGCAGAGAGATGGAGGTGGCTGGAGGACAAAGGGAGATGGAGGTGGTAGGAGGACACAGAGAGATGGAGGTGGTAGGAGGACGCAGAGAGATGGAGGTGGCTGGAGGACGCAGGGAGATGGAGGTGGTAGGAGGACGCAGGGAGATGGAGGTGGTAGGAGGACGCAGAGAGATGGAGGTGGCAGGAGGACACAGGGGGGGTTGGAGGTGGTTGGAGGACGCAGAGAGATGGAGGTGGCAGGAGGACACAGGGAGATGGAGGTGGTAGGAGGACGCAGAGAGATGGAGGTGGTTGGAGGACGCAGAGAGATGGAGGTGGCAGGAGGACACAGGGGGGGTTGGAGGGCACAGAGAGATGGAGGTGGTAGGAGGACACAGAGAGATGGAGGTGGCAGGAGGACACAGAGAGATGGAGGTGGTTGGAGGACGCAGAGAGATGGAGGTGGCAGGAGGACACAGGGAGATGGAGGTGGTAGGAGGACGCAGAGAGATGGAGGTGGTTGGAGGACGCAGAGAGATGGAGGTGGCAGGAGGACACAGGGGGGGTTGGAGGGCACAGAGAGATGGAGGTGGTAGGAGGACACAGAGAGATGGAGGTGGCAGGAGGACACAGGGGGGGTTGGAGGGCACAGAGAGATGGAGGTGGTAGGAGGACACCGGGGGGGTTGGAGGACACAGAGAGACGGAGGTGGCTGGAGGACACAGGGGGGTTGGTGGTGGTAGGAGGACACAGAGAGACGGAGGTGGTAGGAGGACACCGGGGGGGTTGGAGGACACAGAGAGACGGAGGTGGCTGGAGGACACAGGGGGGTTGGTGGTGGTAGGAGGACACAGAGAGACGGAGGTGGTAGGAGGACACCGGGGGGGTTGGAGGACACAGAGAGACGGAGGTGGCTGGAGGACACAGGGGGGTTGGTGGTGGTAGGAGGACACAGAGAGACGGAGGTGGTAGGAGGACACCGGGGGGGTTGGAGGACACAGAGAGACGGAGGTGGCTGGAGGACACAGGGGGGTTGGTGGTGGTAGGAGGACACAGAGAGACGGAGGTGGTAGGAGGACACCGGGGGGGTTGGAGGACACAGAGAGACGGAGGTGGCTGGAGGACACAGGGGGGTTGGTGGTGGTAGGAGGACACAGAGAGACGGAGGTGGTAGGAGGACACCGGGGGGGTTGGAGGACACAGAGAGACGGAGGTGGCTGGAGGACACAGGGGGGTTGGTGGTGGTAGGAGGACACAGAGAGACGGAGGTGGTAGGAGGACACCGGGGGGGTTGGAGGACACAGAGAGACGGAGGTGGCTGGAGGACACAGGGGGGTTGGTGGTGGTAGGAGGACACAGAGAGACGGAGGTGGTAGGAGGAAACAGGGAGATGGAGGTGGTTGGAGGACACACAGAGAGATGGAGGTGGTAGGAGGAAACAGGGAGATGGAGGTGGTTGGAGGACACACAGGGAGATGGAGGTGGTAGGAGGAAACAGGGAGATGGAGGTGGTTGGAGGACACACAGGGAGATGGAGGTGGCTGGAGGACACAGAAGGTTGGAGGACACAGAGAGATGGAGGTGGTAGGAGGACACCGGGGGGGTTGGAGGACACAGGGGGGTTGGAGGTGGCTGGAGGACACAGGGGGGTTGGAGGTGGCTGGAGGACACAGGGGGGTTGGAGGTGGCTGGAGGACACA